GGGGGAATTGGGGTGCGGGGGAGACCGGCTCCGGGTGACAGCGTGAGGGACAAAGCCATCGGCCCCGGGCAGCATGGAGCGGCGCTCCCGGGTGCTCCCAACCCTCCTCGCGTGGTGCTTCGTCACCTTCCAGGCGGGTAAGGATGGCTCCCGCGTTCCCTGCGGTATCGGCGTTTCCCTCCGTGAGCCCTACCTTCCCCGGGGTTTCCAAGAGGCTATTGCAGCCCCAGGGGCAAATCTGAGGGGAGAGGAGGGGAAGCTGAGGGGGCTGCAGCACGTGCACATGGAAAACCCCTTCTCTCCTGGTTTTCCCCCAGGCAGCCTCATTGTCCCAGCCTCCACGCAGGCGTGCTGCCTTCCTCCATGCACCCTTCTTGCACGGGGCTAGGATGAGGGTCTTGTCTTTTTGGGACAGCTTGACTTCACTCTGATGTGACGGGGCTCTGCTCCGAGACGTAGCTCTGGGTTAACAGCACTGCAAAGACCCCCCCCTCTCCCCCAGGGGACGCAGCCTTGGGACCCCAGCTCCGTCCTATGCAAGTTAGCAAGATTTTGCTTCCATCTCCTGTCAATATAAGGCCTCTCAGGAGCTGGGCATCTTGCTTCTCCTGCTCTGGCACGGGGCCCGTTCTGGCTACGAGGCTCTACACCCGGCTGGTCTCAGGGCAGAGCCGCCCTCGCAATTCCTCTTTGGCCACACTTCATCATGCAAAGTGCCTCTCCACCAGAAGAAATTTATGGAGCTCGGCAGCGAGCAAGGACACCCGAGCAATGCCACGCAGACACGTGGGTGAGCTGGCAGCGCTGTAGACCAATGCCAGCTCTTTCTATGCACCGCAAAGAGTGCTTCAGTCCTTCCCCCCTTGGCCTCCAGCCCAGCCAGGAGAAGGGCTCTAGGAAGGCTGCAGCGGTCCCAAGGACTGGGTCAGCTGTGGGCCTCCAGCTTGCAAACTGAACCAGTTAGCACCAGTAACAACAGGCAGCGGGGCTATGAAAGTGCCCTTGGCCATCGTAGGCTGGGATTTTCTCACCAAGGTTCATGCCAGGGTTAGCCTTGTGCAGTCCTCAGCTCTCCAGGAGGAGCACAGGGGAGCCTTGCAGGGGCTAATTTCTCTCTGCCCACCGCCCGGTGGGGTTTAACGCCCCTGCGTGCCACAGAGAAGAGGAGAGGGGCTTGCCCAGAGTCACCCTGAGTTAGAGGCAAAGTGGGGCAGAGGACCCCAGCGTCCTGAGTCCCTGCCCCACATCGAGATACTGCACTTGGGTCAGGCTGCCCCAGAAAACGGAGGGTGACACTTCCAGTGGGATTTACTCTAGGTATCTGGACTTTGTGCTTTCCTCGCTTCCAACCCACCTTGGTGGAGCTGTGCTCCCTGTTTTAACCACAGGGTTGTGGCAAGGGAGGTGAGGTGAACTCTGCCCCCAGCCCAAGCCCCCACCCATCCCCGTCTCTCCGCAGCCACCTGCATGCAGGAGCAGCCCCACACCCATGCCGAGGAACGCCTCTTCAAGTACCTCTTCACCGGCTACAACCGGTGGTCGCGGCCAGTGCCCAACGCCTCCGACGTCGTCATCGTCAGGTTCGGGCTGTCCATCGCACAGCTGATCGATGTGGTGCGTATCTGGCTGGGCGCTGCGTCCCCCCACCAGCCCCATGCCACTGCAGCAGCTCTCGTGCCCCATCCAGGACTCCTGCTTTGGGAGTCAGAAAAGGATATCCCTTCTCCCACCTTCTTGAGAGCATGGTATCTTTGAGTGCCTGTAGATGTCCAAGTCCAGGACAATGGCTTTTGGAGTCCCAGAGAGGAAAATCCTGAGAGTTCAGGAGATATTAGGCAAGTCTTGTTCACTGCCTGCGGTTGTGCACAGCGTCAGTGCCTGCCCAGGCCGGGTATGCGGGCATCCCTTGCAGCCGGCAGAGATGCACACAGGAGTTTCTGGAGCCACCTGAGGTGCCCCAGATTGCCCCATTTGCCACTGCACTAGGAAGGCACTGATGTCTCCTAAGTCCTGTGCTGCATCTGTGAGCCCCATGCAGACATCTGAAGATGGGGCTCCCTGGGCTCAGCTCCTTCCACCTGTCCTGGCACAAGCTAATTCCACCTTGGAGGGCACCTAGCCCCTGCAGGGGTAGAGGCAGCCCTGGGGACTGGCACGAGGCAGACACCTCAGGAGGTATCAGAGTGCAGGGGGCAGTGGTGGCTGCATGGAGACCCTCCTGGAGCATCCCAGATCTTTTCTTGCCCCTGATGGCTGCGAGAGCATCAAAGAAAAACTGCATAGCTCTTCATCCCTGTTCCGTCCTCATCCACCCACCCACCTACCTACTCCTGGGACTATCCCTGTGCCTGTCCATCCGTCCATCACCTCACTCTTTCATCCCATGTG